GGACTCAATTTGCACTATTTCTGTCAGTCTGCAACCCCCCTTAGTGATCAGACACTAGCTAGTGCAGTGCTGGATGTTGTATTTAATCCAAAGAGTTGCAATACCATTTTGATTTTATATAAGATCACACATAGTATATTTTTGTTTCAAAGGATACATGCTACATAGTGGTTTAGGAATTCATGGTCAGATGCTGGCATAGATTGAAGAAAGCTCTCTCTATAAGCCTCAAACCAGGGTGTGGTAGCTGAAATAAAACAGAGATTATAGAAATAATTTAGAATTATGAAAATAAAATGTGCTGTAAAGATTTTCTGCTATTGAATTTGCAAGAGAAATCCCAGGAAAGAAAAACAGTAACATCCATTATTTATTTGATATTTTTTGGATATGACCAGGGCTAAAATTTTAACTAAGACTACAAACACTAACCAAAGGAAATTTCTTCAAATTTCATCCATGTGGCTCACAACACCACTGCAAAATCACAAGCCTTTAAGAAATATTACCAGTCCCATATACAGTAACTTGACTTGCAACACAAACCCTTTGCATACATTGTTTCAATATAATATAATTAGGGTAATTTTCACCTATTTCTAAGAAAACAGGAGCATTACCTAAACACATATATTCAGATGTCAGTCCCATTAAATTCAACAGAAATTGTTACTAGGTAAGCATGTACAGAATTGCAGGCTCATACAGAAAGATACAGTCTGCCAGATAGCCAGGCCCTACTGTATAAACTTTATACATTATAACCAGCACTTTGAAATCTGTGTGGAGAAACAGGCACTGGCAGCCAGTAGAGACACTTCAGAGGGAGAGTTTTATGATTCTTGTACCCAGTCCCAATTAAAACTCTGGCTGCAGCTCTTCATACAACTGATGTTTCTGAATGTTCTTCAAAGACTGCCCTGCATAGAGTACATTACAATAAACCAAACAGGAAGTAATTAAGTCAGGTGTTTCCAAGTTGACCCAGTTGGCACATAAGTGTCCAAAAGGCTACTTGCTACCACAAAAACTTGTGTCTAGGTATATCAGACAGTGTGTAATTCCATCCATCACAGGATGAAACACTAGTCACTAGCACATCTTTAAACTGACCAGGTCCACAACCAGGGACATGTTCCCTCTGCCTAGTTCCCAGAGAAGATCATACAGCAAAGTAACCAAAGGTCTCTGTTTCACAACCAAGACCAACAGCAGAGTGGAGAAATCCCTGGAGCTGGCAAGCGACATTTGTGTGTGTATGTGCGTGCGCACACACGCGCACACACACACACATGCACTTTCAAATCATCTCTGGACTTATGCCAACCCCACAAATTTCACAGGGATTTTCTTAGGCAAGAAATACGTAGAGGTGGTTTTGCCAGTTCCTTTCTCTGAATTTCACATTCAACACTATTAACTTGCCAAAAAATTGGAATGTTGAACACTGGTCAATAGCTATCCATTAAAGAGGAATCCAGGAAAACAAAATTCAACAGAGGCCTTATGATTGTCTTTTTTAGGCATATTGGAACAAACAAGAGAGAGTTCCATATTTGTTAGAATATTTATATCCTATCCAAAGCTCTCAGGGTGGTGTACAATAAAATCAATTTAACAAAATTTTAAAAAGTATAATTAAAATAATTGTAAAAGGCTAAAAATGTGTTAACAAAATAAAAGGCAGATGAAAAGCATTAAAATAGTTTAAAATGAATTGGAAACCATGTGGAAGGATGGATTTTTTTAAAATCAGTTAGGCCCCAAGAGATGTGGTAGATTAGTGGTTAAGACGCTGATTCTAATGATCGTGAGTTTGGAAGATTGGCAGTTCGAGGCCCAAGCACCACATAATGGAGTGAGCTCCCGTCACTAGTCCCAGCTTCTGCCAACCTAGCATTTTTAAAGCATGTAAAAGTACAAGTAGATAAATAGGTACCACTTCGATGGGAAGGTAATAGCATTATGTGCAATCATGCTGGTCGCATGACCACTGGAGTAGCCTTCAGACAATGCTGGTTCTCTCAGCTTGGTAATGGAGATGAGCACCACTCCCTACAGTTGGTCACAACTAGACAATCATGTCAAGGGGAAACCTTTACTTTTACCTTTAGGCCCTCAAAGCTTTCATGAACAACTATGTTTTTACTTGGGGCATAAACAGCAGCAATGTCAGCATCAGTTGAGCTCCCAAGGGGAGGAAGTTCCATAATTAAGGTGCCATAGCAGAGAAGGCTCTCTTCCATGTCCTCTCACAACATATTGCTCTAACTGATGACACTACTCCTTTCTTCAGTTAGTCTCACTCTGGCCCTTTTAATGAGGCAAGAACATCAAGAGTCTAGTGGACAGGTGGTGGCTCTCATTTCTCCAAGAACCCAGTCCACATCCTTAAGTTTTACACATTGAAAAGAATCTACTGCTCATCAACAGAATCCCTATTGTGCCCCAGCCACTCCCTTTCAAATAGGCACACTCAACCCAGCAGACTGTGGGATGGGCCACTGGTCAGGGAGACGGAACCACAATAGACCTCTATAATTCTACTTCCCTAATCGTCAGGTCTCACTCATTTCTGCAAAGAGAAATATGGTGTGCAAACCTGAGATTCCCAACCCCCAGTCCAATGAGGTCTCCATGATATAGAGCAGGTATGCTCATCCAGAGTGAAATACTGGGTAGCTATTGTTTCCCCGTTCATCAACCTGGCATTTAGCAGCAGCAGCAGCATTTTCAACCCAAAGGAACTGTCACCAAAGTCATCCAGACTATTTCAGCTGGGAGATACCGTATTTTTCGGCATATAAGACGCTCCGGCATATAAGACGC